ACACCAGGCAGTGAGAGGCCTGGGGGTTGACAGGACACCAGGCAGTGACAAGCTGGGGGACAGCAGGGACACCAGAGTCCTGGGATGGTGACAGCCCCCCTCCCTCCGCTCCTAGCAAGTGCTCAGCATTAGGACAAAAAGCACGGGGCCACCACAGCCATGCGACATACGCCTTCGATGACCATGTACTGAGTCACGTGAGGTTGGGGGGGTGGGTGCAGCGTCCTCTTGCACATGAGCAGTGATGTGCTCGCAGCGGAATGTTAGGTTGTCGGCTTGGAAACCCCTCACGGAACGCTGAGGCAGGGGCGTTCAGGACTGGGAGTGCTGTGTGTTTAGAGAGGGAGCGGAGACCCAGCTGGTGCCGTGGGGATCTCTTCCCATTTTCCACCCACCCGCTTGGGCAGGGAGGGGCCGGGCCCTAACCTGGCTCAGAGGCTGTGAGTTTATCTACCGTGGTAGACGCCGTCATGGAACAGGCACTGCCTGGCCCCAACCATGTCATGCATCCACTACAAATTTGCTTCCAAGCTCAGCTATGACACTGTCACCTTCAACGGCCTCCACATCTCCCTCTGCGACCTCAAGCACCAGATCATGGCCCGTGAGAAGCTGAAGGCGTCCAACTGCGACCTGCTGGTGACCAATGCCCAGACCAAGGAAGGTGGGTGGTGGCAGCACGTGCAGGGTGGGAAGCAAGAGTGTGAGTGTGATTCAGCCACCATCGGTAGCTGTGACTGGGGTTGGGGGGCTGGCAGAGCGGTGCTTTGTCGTCACTGTTCTGACAACGGCCTTCAGATCTGTGTTCTAGACACAGCGCTGGGTGGCGAAGAATACAGGGTTGATGTCCCACGTAGAGGGCTTACGAAAGTTTGGGTTTCCTGGAATTCTTCTAGGTCAAATGATAAGGAAATGTGGGGGGATTTCTTATAATAACTAACTCGCCAGTTTTCTCTGAGATCTGGTGGAGAAAGCTGACAGTGCTAGAAAGAGAAGAGATGGCTAATTTGAAGGAAGAAAAGTGGCTTTGGTGACATCGTTTTGTCTTCCGCTTGTTTTACTCCACTGCATGGGCAAACTGGTTTTGTGGCTGCTGCCTTCAAAGCCATCTTGCACAGGAGCACTCTGTATCTCACTTACCCTTGGGCAGTTCTTGTTAATATCTCTGCTTTTCTACACCAAAGGCGTTGCCCCTCAGATGCTGTTGAGCATCGTTTCATCCTTCGTTTCTAACCATGTATTTTATCGCGGTGCTACATGTTGGCCATATCAGGGCAGTCCTGAAGTTTTATGGCAGAGCATTTATGGTGAATATATTCTACTTTAAGAAAATGAAAAAGATTTTGCTGCTTGTGTTTGGTTCTCGAAACCAAAGATCTCTTGAAATGTCTGTTAGTGCGTCGGGATGATACAAGTGCAATGTTCCATAAAAAGTTTTGCTTTTCTATCTGTAAAGGGGTTCTCCTAGGTGCCATCTAATTACATATTCATATACATTCTGAAAAATTGACTGTTTTTTCTGTATTGATGCTGTTTTCAGAATACACAGATGATGATGCCCTGATTGCTAAAAACTCCTCAGTAATCGTTAGAAGGATCCCAGTTCTGTAAGTATCCCTCAAGAGTTGTGTTCTCTGCTAGGGGTTTCCGGGTGTTAACTTTTTGTACGGCTGTTGGTTTGCAGAGGCACTCAGGTTGTATCTTCCTTGCTCAAGCTGCCGTTAATGTTTGTTGTCATGGGCTTGATTTTAATGTATCTGTCCCAAAGCAGCCTTACATTTTTTGGCCTGCCGGGACATGGGGAACAGTCAATCCTTTGACAACTTTAGGCTCAGTAAGCAGTTCAGCACCTTACCAAATGTTGCCAGTTACCTTTCTATGCCTGTTTTTACCCTAAGCTGGTATCTCTGTATTCCTATGATTTACGGAGGACAGAGAATCAGGCGCATTGATTAAAATTACAGCTATTCAAATGCAATGCTGACCACAGGATGATTGCTGTCATTGATGCATTCACACAGTCCAGTTCTCTGTCAGCTACCTTAGCACTGTGTGAATGGCCATGTTTTCCAGCCGCCTTAAAGATACGCCTCTCCACCACAGGAAGTGGGTATTACTGGCTTGTGGCTTTGCCATCTCTTTCTGGCGTTGGTTCTCACTAAATAGAGGAGACTGATGAGTTACAGCATGTCTCGAACAAACAGTACAGCAGCACCCAGGTACCTAGAATGCATTTGCAGCCAAAACCCCTGAATTTATGTGGCTCCGCATGTAAACTTTGGGACTATTACTGCAGGAGCTGCTGCGGTGCTTTCAGGCACTCACGAGTAACTCTGGACGCACAGTGCTGTGCTTATTAACATGGCCTTGTTTGGGGGTTAATTTAAATCTGTATGCTCAGTGCTGTCTTGTCAGTGCACCCTCCGTTTCTGGTTGGATGCCCCCTCTCCTGGTATTGTAATGCCTCCCTAAAATGAGAGGGTAGATGCTGCTCGCATCAAAGGTCAAATCAATACCGGTGTGTGGGGCTAAGGGAAGGATGGCGCCTGCTCTGACATTGAAAATTACCCAGGCAGACCAGCTTAGAGTGGTTCCTGTTTGGGGAGGATGAATGTGTGCTGTAATGGTGGAGGGGCCTTTGAAATTGCAGCACTCGCCGTGTAGTCTGTTGTTCAAGGTAGAAAGCCCTGTGTGGTAACCTGCAGTCTTTCCTTGGCCCTCCTCATCGTCAGGAGGTCGGGGGCTGTCATTGCCAGCCTGGTGGTGTTGTAGCAGTGTGGGAAGCACAAGCCTGGCTGTTTGGGCATGAATTCCACAGCAGCCTTTTAATTGCCTCTGCCCATGGGACGCTTGGGATGAGGTGTGACTTGTTTGTTAACGCTATCGATGGTTGCATGTCTGAGTCATGATGAGTAGCATGCAGAATCAGATCAGTGAGCATGTGGATTCTCAGCAAGTTTTAAGGTGTAATAAGTATGTCCTAAAATATTGTAGCATTTTTGAGATTACCTTAAAGCAAATTCTGGCAATTAAGACTTTTGTGTGTGTGTGTGTGTGTGTGTATCACAGGGCTCCTAAATCGCACAAGATCCAGGGAGCTGCTTCCAGGTGACACCTCCACTGCTACCTTTAGCCAGTATGGCATATGGAACACACATGGTGTGCTGGACCTTCCGTGGCTAAGGATGGCAGAGAGCTGAGCACAGTGCTGGGGCTTCCTCAAAGAAACACTGTTCTGAAGCCGATGCTGCTGGCATTTGTGGTATTTCTTGGTCAGACGACTGATTTTATTCACTTCAGCAAGCCTGCACTGTGAAGTGCCCAGGCTATCACTGCTCTCCCTTAGAAACAAACGTCCTCTGCCTGGTACCTTGCTGTGACGCCAGGGATGCACAGCCTGGCCAAAGTCACCTTTGTATTTCCATGGCTGATTCTTTCAGGACACAAAGCTGCAGTACAGGCTTCCTATTAGGGATACTTAGGTAGCGGAGGCAAAATACCTGAGGACTCCCTCTCGCCTTGCTGTGTTTGGTATCTGTGGGCCTGAGAGTGACTTGTGACAAAGTAGAACTGTGATTTGGGGGTTTTATTTACTTGCACTGAATGTACCAGGAAAGAACAGTTTCTGCACACAAATAAATTTCAGCCTTCACTAGACTCTCAGAACACAGTGTTTTGATGTTTTATAATCTGTTTTGAGGTTTTACAATCTGTGTTCACTGCTTGATGTTGGGTACAAGTGCTCTATTTTAAGCCCTGATCACCTTTATTTCTTCTTCCAGAGGTCAAACGGAGCCAGCGTGTGGAACATCAACAGCAGTATGTAACAACACCATCTCAGACTATTTTCTGTGCGCTGCACTTGGTTCTGAACAATGCAGCCTTGTGTTAATTTTCCACATATTAAGCGGTGTGTTACTTTTATGGCTGATGTTTTGGATGGGTGTTTTTAGTTGGGTTTTGTGGGGTATGGTGAGTTTGGCATTTTCAAACTTACTGACAGGAGGGGCAGCGTCCACGTGCCAGGGCTGATACCCCAGTGCTTTGCTTTGGCAGGCAATTGTACTGTGTTCATAAAAGCATAGCCACATGCATTTATAAATGATGAGACATTAACTGATTAATTTAAAAATGACACTGAAAATCAGTTTCCTGTGCTGATGCTTCCTTCTCAAATATATATATTTTTTTAAATCTTTTTTGGCTGAAATTAACAGCTTCCTTCCCCCTTGGACTTCTAAGCAGTTGTGAGCATTTGTCAAGGCTCCCTCCCTGAGATATCCTGGAGCAATGAGTTGCTCTCAAGCGGGTTTGGATATTTGAGTTTCCTCTCATGAACTACACAGGCGCTCTTAAGCTATTACAGGTTTGGACACTGTTTTGAACAAATACAAATGGCCCTGGGTTG